TGGATAGTAGAAAAGAACACGAGTTAATGGGAAGGGCGTCCCGGGTCACTGATTCGGTCGGGCAGAGGATGATTATTAGAGGATGCTCTTTCAGTAGCTCAAATTTACATGGACAAGTTCTCCTTTCTGAACTAGCAACGCCGATTCACTATAAGCATAAACCAATCATCGGGCTACTGTCAGTTAGAGACATCGGATGACACCCGCGATTTGCCGACCTTGCGGACAATAAGGCCCCTGCATTCACCTCTCGAACATTTGTCATCTTGATTCCAGGTCTCCCAGGGACTTGATAACGTGTCGAAGTAGATGCATTGAGCTACGTGACTGCTTTATGTACATCGTGGTCGACATAATCATCAGGCAACATTTAATATAACTTCCGACTGAATAAAACCAAGAATTCAATGTCATGCCATGGGTTGAATCATTATCCGTCCTCCGAAGGCCGCACGTACCATGCCCCTGGGACCTGTTTCGACACTGCGTGGCCTTGTCATTTTGACATCCTGGACATTTGGAGGTTTTTGTCTGTCTCAGGTTGGGGCACGGTTGGACGACGCTACGTAAGGCAAAAGTGACCCTTCCAGATTTCGCTGTGTTTGCTGATAGCACTTCCCTATCTAGAGTCCTCAGCACTGCGAAGCCACTCGCAAGCACTTTAGATGGGTATTTCAAGATAAATGAGAAAGCTCTTATTCCATTCTATACTAGAGATGGACCAATTAAAACCGCTCATATGAGATTTTTATTATTCACGAATACAGCCGGCAGGGCCAGATGCTGTGGACTGTCGATCGAACATTGCCTCGATTACTAGCTGGATCAAGATTCAAACATATCGTGTTCTTGGCGTCAGTTGGTGGCTGTCTTCTGACTATAGTAAACAGGTCCGAAATTACCGTTTCGGTCCCAGTTATTTCTGTCAGCATTGCCTATCGATTTTATGAAGCCAGTGGTGGTATGAATGCTGGCCGTATTTTATTCGTACGAGGGCGACCCATGACCACCCTCCTCACGGATCAAGTTCATCCGACCACGGTTTCACATCTTCAGTGTAACAGCAGCATTCTTTATTGCCTCACCCTCCATCCTATCAAGGATAGGCGTTGCCAGCCAGAGCAGAGTCTGGGGTAATTAACTGGTCTTCGACTCTGTCTTTCATGTTAGGATTCTCTGTAATTGCTGAATGACTTACCACGTTGATAACATGGGTAATAGATAAAAGCCCAGACGTGTTTCATCGGTTTCGTGCCGCCTCATGGCACATTTGCGAGGGATTCGACCCATCCGTTGGTCCTCCAGCATTCGGCATGTGCTTTATAGTATGTACTCCAGTTTCTATATTAACCTTTTTGATTTCCTCGGAAATTTATGCGCGAAATTGGAGTAAGTCCTCTGGAGCAGACATTTTAGGCCCGATCCGAAGGTTAGTATGAATATGAATATCAACTTCCGGACCAAGCTTAAAAAGGTTTTCTCCGGAGAATTTACTTCAAGTTTGTACAATAACTTCTGAGGAACTTAAAAAGATCAACATACTCTACAATTTCTTCAGGTTGGATTGATTATTCTGAGCCTTTCGACTGTGCAACATCCGGAAGCGAGGAGGAGTGAGTGGAGATTGAATCAGGGTTCACTGGCTTTCATTTCCGTCCCTCGGGATCTGTCGTTGCATAGTAGCCGTAGCAACGGGAAAAGGGGACCAGAGAGTCTGACTTCCTGTCAGTCTATAGAGGTTGGAGAGGCATATCGCTCGCTCTACCTCGACTTCTTGGGCCCACCCCAATGTCCGATCCAATATTTCTTTCAGGCTGTGTTCAGCTCTGGTCGGACCACGGTTTTGCCCAAATAACTGCCAGCTACTTCTGCACATTCAAAAGACACTTTAGCCCTAAGTGCTACCTTTCTTTGCCCTTAGCTCCGTTCGCCTACAAAATCAACACCGCGTTTTGTGAGCGTCATCGAAAATGCACGTGCATTATTGGACTGTTATCATGAGCAAAGCCATGAATGCAATGAGTTGCACTAAGCAACGCCGATATTTTGACAGTTTGTTCACATGCATAGAGAACGGAAGTATCCGGAGGTCCCACGCTTTCATTCTATCTTTCGACTAGATCCCAACCATGGAAACTATTCACCTACTAGAAAAGGAGCCTTTGTAAGCACGTACACATGCTTGTTAACGAATGTTGTCCATGGTAGATTTGTATATTCACACAAGAGAAGGCGTAGACCGATCCCTTTGGCTGCTGAGATCAGACAGGTTAAGACGTCTGCTGTTCTCGTCTGGAATGGACAATCACCCAAACAGCCCGATTCACAAATGGCAGGCTACCCATGTGAATAAAAAACGCGAACAGGACATCAACTAACTCGGACTTAGTAAATGTGGTGACTGTCGGCCGTCGTCCTGAATGAAGTACAACCAGCCTTAGCGTATATGATCCGTGGATGAGGGCAAGCCGAAAGGTCACAAACACTACTGAGCGGCTCTCTTATCGAGACATCCTCACCGTTAGTCCTTTTGACCACCAGGCGGCGGTCTTTACATGATATGATTATATTCGCTGCGTCATTGGTAGCACAATACCGTCCCAATAGGCATTCGAAAAGGCCTGGTGGTTTTGTTTGCTTTTAGGAGGGCCTCTTATAAGAATACACGTGATTAAAAAATAATAATAAGAAGAAGAATAGGACCATTTGAGAGCGCAGGGAAGTACATATGGAATTCGGTGGAATAATAAAAAGTTCATCTTGGTTTTATTCCCTTAGCCGGCGTCAAAGTCGCTCTAATGGATCCGCACTGATTAGCTTTGTTACCTAATTCCCACAGACCCGTCCGCAAATCACGGTCTGTTGACAGCTCGGCCGTCGCGTCCGATAATGTCCACCTTGTCCTCCACTGCAAGGTGAGAACAGACACGGTGACTTTCGCGTTAATGAATTTATTATGAGAGTAGACTTGTGAAGTATCTACCGCACTCTCTCCTCCCTCGTCCGAACCCGGCGTTAAGACATAATGAAGAAGACCGAAGACGGAGGAGGGCGCAGATGGCTGGCACGGCTGGATCCATCCCCTGGTCCAAATAAAACACTTGACCAGGATTTTAACCAACGACAAAAAGTAGATCAGGAAGAGGATGATGATACAAGTCACTGGGCAAACATGCACACGGCCTGCATACTCAGCGAGAGCGCAAGCGCATCAACCGGTAGGGAACCTGGTGCCAGAGAACTGCCAGCGCACGCCAGGCTGCGAGGGTCATGGTTTGCTGAACCATGACATAGCAGACGCACACAATCCTTGAAGCCCACAAGGGTGGGACGCACCCCTGCATTTTGCCTGGGCCATCACTCTTCGAAAGCCGCATATCCAATCGGTCATCGACCGAAAGGCACTACCTCTACGCACACACACACTCCTCACATGCGTGAGAGTGCCAGTAGTCACGTTAAGAAGGAGCCGTTGTGGCCTGACTCTTCGTCCATCAGTCCACAACTCCACCCAAACACACACACACACACACAACTGGGCAGACCGCGTGTACTGAGTTGAGGTGTCAGTCGGCAACCTACCAAGTCACGGCACTTGTCGCACCAGGATATTCTCAGGCTTGGATCACGCATGAGCAGAGTAGCCACATGGAAAAGGATGCGAGAAGCACACTCATCACTTAAGTGAGAGATGCTAATTGAGTGCTTACGCTGTATGGTGACGGTTGATGTTGGTCTGCGTTGCTGATGCTTGTGAAAAGGGTTGTGAGGGTGTGGTAGGATCGGCGATGACCTGCTTCAGATTCTCCTGGAAGCGCATGTGACCTGATAGGCCCATACGCTAGGTAAGCGTGCGTAGGCGGTGTGGGCATTGGAGGCGGATGCGGCGGGTGTATGTGGATGTTCCAGGCACTGGTTCGCCAGGCTCTGCGCGATGGATTCGCAAGTGACCGACCAGACCGATGTGCAAGGGGAATGTACGAAAACGGTTTGCGCAGGATAGGTCGGGAGCGTCAGAGGCGATTTTGGTGCTGGTGATGATAAAGCTGCTGGTATTGGGTAGGCTGGGTGATGTGGTGATTGGGCTATATATAGTGGATGTGCAAGGTGTATTAGGTGTGTCGATACTGCACCGAATTCCGTTGTCGTGGATGCGCATGTGACCAAGTGGGCCATGCAGTGAGTGAACATGCATGGGCAGTGTGAACAGTGAATACGGTTGCGGAAAATGTATGTGGGTGCTCCAGGCATTGGTTCGCTAGCCTCTGTGCGATGAATTTGCAAATGACCGATCAGACCGATGCGTGAGGTGGATGTGTGATCGCAAGGAGGCAAGTTGGGACCAAGTCCACATATCTGGAGGTGGGATGCTGATGGGAATTGTAGTAAATGGCGGGACGCCGGACGTCGCCCGGTCGATAGAGGGCGAGAGGCCGTGATGTTGATGGAGCTGGTCGCAGGGGTTGGGACATGGCGGAGGATGCAGGAGATGGATGGCACGGGGCATTGACAGTCTGATCACCGATGACGGGAGTGTTTGTTGCCGCGGAGTTTATGGCAAGGGTAATAGTAGGGGTGTTAGTGTGAGGAGAAGTTGACGCTGCCGCCTTGTTGGTGCATTGCTTCCGAAGGTGTCCTACGAGGCCTATTCGCGCGCGCAATGTGTGTTGGCAGCGTGGACAGGCTAAAAGCGGCTGACTGTCGAAACTGAGGAGTCGAGGCACTTGTGACTTGCGGGCATCACTTTGGGCTTTGGCGGCTGCGAGCCGATTTGTTTTGTAGACGGCCGCTCCAGTATTTACTTCTCTTCTTCAGGGCGGTCTGTTTTGGGCGGGGTCCTACCAGGTCTCTGGGTCGATATGCAATCGCTCCAGAGAATTTCTCAATGTGCCCTTCTAGCGTCGTTTTGGTCCTCCTGGCTTGCTAGTACAAGTAGCGACATCTCCGTAGAAAAGTTGCTTTGGTAGGCGAGCTTCGTTCATTCTCATCAGATGGCCGCTCTACCGCAATTGCATTTGCCTCAGCATGACGTGGATGCTGAGGATTCCGGGTACGGGATCCTGTCCTGCAATCGCAGCTTCAGTATTCTGAGAAGGCAGTTTGGCTGGAAGCGGTTGAGCTTCCTGGCATAGGTCGCTCAGACGGCCCATGTCTCCGCTCCGTACAGGAGGGTCGTCAAGACGTCGACCTTGTACACCTTTTGGCTCGCTTTGGAGATCCGGTGGGTCATTTTGTCGTCGATCCTTGTGCTGCAGGAATGTGTGCTTTCTAGGTAAGCGAAGTTGTTCACGGTTTTGTGTCGGTTGCCGTTGACGGTGATTCGAGGAGAGTTGTATTCAGCGTTCGGTGATGGCTGGCGCATGACCACCGTTTTGCCCTCGTTGATTGTCGGACCGAAGTTGGTACACCCGGCGGTGAAGTGTTCCATGCTCCGTCTCACGTCTACTTAGGTCGTGGTGTTGAGCGCGCAGTCGCCAACGAAGAGCAGGTCGTGAACTGTAGTCGTAACTAGTCGCGTTAGGACTTCATACGCCTGCTGTCGAGAAGAGGCCTATCAGTTCTGTGGGCGATGCGTATCTCAGGGCACTCAACATGGTAGGCGTCCATCCGCATGGCAAAGAACATGAGGCTAAAGAGGGCAAGAGCGAGTGCGCAGCCCTGCTTCACTCCATTTCTCACTGGGAATGCCTCGGAGATTGCGCCGTTGTCAGTGAAGTACGTCATCATCCCGCCGTGGAGCTGGCATATCTTGGGCGTGAATCGTACAGAGCAGCCGAATTTCTCCACGATTTTCCACAATCCCTCGCGATTCAACGTGTCAAAGGCCTTCGTCAAGTCCATGAGAGTAGTGTAGAGGTGGGTACTTACCTCTTAGGACTTCTTATAGCTGGCGAGCAACAAAGACCATGCTGGTGGTCCCGTGGTGTCGTTGGAAGCCACATTGGCTTTCCGGCAGTAGTCCAGGCTCAAGGTGGCTGATGAGACGATTGAGGAGAGGGCGAACGAAGATCTTCCCGGCGGCTCTGGGTAGCAAGATGCCTCCGTGGTTATCACAGAGGTGCCGGTTTTCTATGCGTTTTTAGAGGTGGATGATGGTCGCGTCCTTCAAGTCCTTAAGGACCTGTCCTTGTCGCCACATCTGGAAAAGCGCTGTGAGTTGCTCCACCAGTCGGTGGTCGCCGTACATGTAGATTTTGGCTGGGATGGCACCGGAGCCCGACGCTTTCTCGATGGAGCCCGGCGCGAATGGCTTCTGGAAGGGAGGGTGGCGGATCCCGGTCGATGTTGATTTCAACTTGGGGGAGCCGGACGATGGTTGCGTCAGAGATCTTGGGGGATGGTTGAGGACGCTTCTAAGGTGCTCGATCAGCGACTTTTTCGTCAGAAGCGTTGAACTATCTGAGCTGAGAAGTGGCTTGGTTCCTTTCTTTGGGGGGCCATAAATCTTCTTGATTGCATCAAAAAGTTCTTCGTTCCATTGCTGCCGACATACCCCCGGATTTCCTCAGTCTTGCATTTCTGGCGACAGTGGTAGAAGGCCGCCTTGTTTGCATCATTTAGACTGTCGAGGTAGGCTCTTCGCAGTCCGTTCTTCTCTCCCATCAAGCTGCTGATGGCTGCATCGTTTTCGTTTAACCAGTCCTGGTGTTGACGACGTCCACGGCCGAGAACACCCAGGGCGGTCGAATGGACGGCGTCTCACAGTTGGCACCACCAAGTCCTTACGGTGGCGTTGAATTCCGGGGCTGGCAGGTCTTCCAGGTGCTGAACTAAGTGATTGCTGAAATGTGAACGGAGAGCAAGCGAATTCAACAGAACAGTATTTTACTTACCTGGTGATCTCTTAACTCGTATCCTCAATCGGGGTTGCAGACGGAGCTTGATCATGGAGATGACGAGACGGTGGCCCGTCCAGCCATCGGCCTCGCAAATCGCCTTTGTTCACCGGCACGTCCTGTCGACCTCGCCGCTGGCCGAGAACATAATCCAGCAGCTGCCAGCGCCGCGATCAGAGATGTGTCCACGTGGCCTTCTTCCACATCGGCAGGCGGAAGAAGACGTCAATCAGCAGGAGACAGCGTTTAGCTCAGGTCCACAGGAGAAGGAGACCATTGTCGTGTATGCCGCCAATCCCGTGAGAACGCAGCAATCCCCTTCAGGTAGTGCAGTCTGTCCCTATGGGGCATCGAAGTTACCAAGGACAACCAGCCTGCCCGCCTTCGACAGTCGCCAGGAGGACGTGCAGTTCTTCATAGAATTTGTTCC